TGGTTGACCAGGCAAAATAAACAAGTGCATAAAGCTATATACACACCTGGTGGACCTCATAAGAAGAGGCGATTACACCCAGTATTGACCCTTCTGAGTATGTGAGCTGATGGACTCTTTTTCTCTTCCAACCCCTGTGTTCAAAGCACCTTTTTGAAATACAGTAAATAGGGGTTAGCAATTAAGAGCGAGGTTCTGCCATGCCTAGATTCAATCTCAAATTATTTGGCTTCGCTGTACCTCTGGGTGACCGGTGCACAGCAAGCATAGGCTTGGTGTAATCCCAATCTTAAGAGATAGCTGGAATGTGCAGCACGCGTTTCCACCAGGCGGGCTGTGGGAGACCGACCACTTGCCTGACCCCCAGCTAGTGGGCCCTTTCGCAGGCATCAGCGGAGCCAGGGCTCCAACCAGCCTCCCGCCTAGGCAGCACCACTTGCTCTCATCTCTTAGCAACAGCAGAAAGGCGTCCGAGCCGCGGCGCGCACACCTCCGGCCTGGATGGTTTGTTTTTTAAATCCATCCGAAAGAGCCAATCACAGACGGCAGATCGAGAGCGCGGAAAGCGATTGGCGCACAGCTGTTTTCAGTGGCCAATAGGCGTCGGAGGAGATTTTGAGCAGGACCGGAAGCGGGCAAGGGACCTCCGGGTGGCCGCGGCGGGCGGTTTGAATCGGGATCGGGGCTCGGGCTCGCCCGGACTGCGCGGAGGGGCCTGTCGGAGACGCGGCGCCCAGTACCCCGCGCAGGGCAGCCAGGTGAGCGGCCCAGAGTCTCGGGTCTGGCGGTGGGTTCGTGGGCCTCCCGTTGCTGCCCGTAACGCTCGCGCCCGGGACGCGCTCCCCGCGGAGCCGGCGAGGGCCGCGGGTCTGCGCCCAGCCGGGGCTCCCTGTAGGGTGCGGGGCCCGCAGGCGGCCAGGAAGCTCCTTCCTGTGCCCTCCTCAGCCGGAGGCCGGCGCCCGCCCGGACGCGTGAGCGAGCTTCGCGTTTCCTCGTTCCACCCTGATGTGGTCGCGCAGGTGCGCCGGGCTCAGCCCCGGGGTCAGCATCGGACGCAGATGCCCGAGCCCTGGCCGCCGGGTCGGAGAAGGCCCCGCGCGGGGCAGCCCTGGCTCACCTGTAGGTCTGCTGTTTTGGCTCTTTGGCCCAGTGGGTCTGCGTGCGTGGCTGATCCCCGATGTCTTAGCACGTCCACCTTTGCTGTGATCGCAGCGTGGGCCTGGTATATGATATAATGATGTATTAACACATGAAGTGTTTGTATATAACTATGCCTGCACTTCTAATTTGAAAAGCATTCAACCTGCCACTTTTCTGTTTATTTCCACTGTGTCTGACATCTTTCCTAGTCGTTCCTTTTCATATTTTCCTATCTGTGGCATCTCGAGGTAATAATGACTTCAGTGGCTAGCTAAATTGTTTACAGTACATCCTTGTTTTTGAGACAGGCGCTTGCTATGTAGTTTAGGCCGGACTTGAACTCACACTGTGGCCTCACACTTGTGCCGGTCCTGCCTCAGCCTCCCAAGTGCTGGGATTAGTGTGACCACGTTGGCCCACCCTGAATTCCTGCTCTTCAACAAATAAACCAACCTGACATCCCAGGACCTCCAGGGGCTGAGGCAGGAGGGTTGCAAGTTCAAGCCTGGCCTGGAAAATTTAACAAGGTCTCGTCTCCCAAAACAAAAGAAAACGTTGGGAATGTAGCTCAGTGCGAAGGCACTTACCTAACATGTGCAAAGACCTGGGTTCTGTTTCTAGCACTGCAAGGAAAGAGAAAAAGGTTGCCTCCTCAAAGTTGAAATCTTGGAGACAAATTATACTGGTAGTGAAAGCACGTCTTTCCAGGGCTTGATGTCTACCTTAGATGTTGTCCGAGACCTCTGTTTCTTGGGTTTTTGGAAATCTTTTTATGATTCTTAGTGAAAAACAAAGAGATTCTTGCCCTGCTGCCAAAATAACTCGAAAGTGACTTTTCTTTCATGTTTAGACTTTTTGTTCTAAAAGCTGACATTAAGAATAATTGCCGGGGCTGGTTTGATCCCCCAGCACCACATGCCAGTCAGCCCCGCCCCCTGGTGGGCTGAGCTGGCCCCCCACACACAAATAAATAAATGTTTAAAAAAAAAAAAAAAAAAGAATAATTGCCATATTTTTCGCCTCCATGAAATAAGTTATGTGAGATGGGGCTGAGGAGGAGGCAGGCCAGCACACTCTTCGCACTGTTAGTAAATCAAACCCTGTTTTCAAGACCTAACACAGTAGCTAACCTGCTCAGCAGGGGATATGCTATCTGAAGGCCTGAGAAAGGCATCACCGTAGGTATCTTCATTTTCTAATAGGAAAACCAAGGCACAGAGCCCTTAAGTAACTTGCCCGAGGTCATGCATCCTTGCAGCCGCCGAGGTGAACCCGAACACCCCACCAGCCACTAAGCCTGGGTGCCTCTTTCCTTTGATGGAGCTCAACTTCTGCTTTTTGGAGCCGTCTTAGTTCTAATATAGCATTCACTCTTGGCTCACTCATGCACTGGTGGCAGGGAGATGGGGTGCAGGCTGGTGAGAAACTGCCAGGGAGCCAGCCTGGTGGGGTATCAGGCAGGGCTTCCCCGCAGGACAGGCCTGAGGAATGGTGCTAAGCAGTCGTGGGAATCTGGAGACACGATCGTGTGCAGAAGAATGTGTCAGGTGTTTTATTTGTTTAGAGTCAGGATCTTGGTCATCAGAAAACTTCATAGCAAAGTATTCATGTTTTGTATAGTGAAAAGAAACTGCAGAGTTGGAAGCAGGTGGCTGTAAAGAAATCAAAAGACAAGAGGTGACAAAGCCCCAAGACAAGGTGCTTTGGATCAGCACAGTGTGTCTTTCTGTCGTAATGAGTCACTGGCAGTCACCTTCCAGAGGATGCAGAGACGGATATTACCTTTCACATGTGCTGTTTTCATGCCTGACTCGTGCAGGTAGTTAGGTGGACCCATGAGTCTTTGACTTCAATTTTCTTTTCTTTTCTTTGAGTCAGGGCCCCGAACCTGTGCTGATCCTCCTGCCTCCGCCTCCTGAGTGCTGGGATTGCAGGCGTGTAACCCCATGTCTGGCTTCAATTTCCTTTTAGCTGTGCAGACATCAACGGTCCGGGTGTTCTTTTCAGTTCACTGTTCCATGTGGGAGGATTAAAGAAGGGGGGCCAGGATGAGCTGGGCTGTGGAAGAATGGAAGGAGGGCCTGCCTACCAGAGCGCTGCAGAAGATCCAGGAGCTGGAGGGGCAGCTGGACAAGCTCAAGAAGGAGAAGCAGCAGCGGCAGTTTCAGCTCGACACGCTGGAGGCCGCGCTGCAGAAGCAGAAGCAGAAGGTACTGCGACTCTGGGGTTTCCAACGCTTAACTCTGAAGTGATACTCTGCCTTTGTGCGGCCACTGCTCCCCGCCGCTTTTCAGATGTTTCTCATTGCCTCGGATCTTTCCATCTCTGTCCTCATTTCTGCTTACCTGCTGATAGCCAGGGATGTTGGGCTCCATCCTGACTTCCTCTGGGGACCCCGCCTTGCGAGTCATGTTTGCACTGCACAGCGAGGAGCCCCAATTCTTGGGCTTCCTACTGGGGTCCACGTTAGAATGCTTCATTGTGCGAGCGGAGATGGCCTCCCTGCGTGGGCTATGGGCCTCAGTGTCTCGCAGCCTCTTCTATTCATGTCTAGGATGTCTAGGGAATGAAAGCCTCGTCAGTCTTTTTCTTCTTTTAATCTCTGTGCCAGCGAGTAGTGGTGGGACCAGCGCTTATAAATGTCTTTGCTTGTGGAAGAATTTTGTGATTCTTACCGTACTTGGCTTTAGCAGCCAGGCTTGAAGATGGTTTGCTAAGGGAGAGGGGCTGGTGTTGATGGTTTTTAATTCTTGAAGGGATTTGAAGCCTGCATTTCTAAGAAGGAAAGGCACAGTGTCGTAATGCGTGACCTTGGGGAGCTCTTTCTTTTTATTTATTTATTTATGTGTGTGTGTGTGTGTGTGTGGCCAGCTCAGCCCACCAGGGGGCGGGGCTGGCTGGCATGTGGTGCTGGGGGATTGAACCGCGGTCCCTGCGCTTTGCTAAGCTTGTTCTAGGTAGGTGCTTTAGACCACTGAGCCATCTCACCAGCCCTGGGGAGCTCTTTCTTTCAGCAGGCTTCTGAGTGTTTAGAAAGCTTTGACGCTGTGCTTGCTGCAGCCATGTGTTAGGAAATTGCTGGTCATTGCTGGGCTCTAAATTCACAAAGAAGGGACCGATTGATTTCCTTCTCCATGAACCCCTTTAGGTTGAAACAGAAAAAACCGAGGGCGCAAACCTAAAGAGGGAAAATCAAAGACTGATGGAAATATGCGAAAATTTGGAGAAAAGTAAGCAGAGGATTTCTCATGACCTGCAAGTCAAGGAGTCGCAAGTAAATTTCCAGGAGGGGCAGCTGAGCTCAGGCAGAAAGCAAATAGAAAAATTGGAGCAAGAACTTAAAAGGTAATGATTTGGATAGTATTTGTACAGGTATGGTTTCTGCAAATTCATCAGATGCATTTATTATTCTTTAATAAACGATCATTATATAGTGCAGTGCTTTTTTTCCTTTAGTGGAATACAAAGCGGTTTCCTCTGTCATTTTATTAGCACGTCAGATGGTTGCTCGATCATTCAATTAGTACATTTTTTTTCTAGATTGTTGTTGTGTTTTCTGAGACAGGCTCTCTCTGTGCAGCCCAGGATGGCCTTGAGCTCATTTGATCCTCCTGCCTCGGCCTCCCTAGTGCTGGGAATACTGGCTGCATTACCAGACCCGACTCGTTTTCTTTATTAGTACAAAGCTGTACTGCGTGGTTACATTCCTTGTGGGGAGCTGGTGCTTGTACCTAACACATCTTTATTTTATTTTAATTTTTATGTATTTAGTGCAGGGTCTACAGGGGCTCACTACAGAGATTGGACTTGTAGCGATCCTCCTGTTTTCAGCCTCCCAAGCGCTGGGATTACAGGTGCACACCACCATGCCCAGTCTCAGTAACAGCTCAGCGTGCCCCGGGGCGGGGGCGGCCGGGCACGCCAGGGATCAACCCTGGTCCCTGCGTCTGTCTAAGCAGGCGCTTCAGTCTGCTGAGCTGTCTGGCCGCTCCCGTAGCGCATCTTAATCCCTTTTCCCATTTCCTTTCCTCTCTCCCCTCCGTCTATCTCTGGGTGTCCCCCTCCCTTTCCTTTGAAAAAGGTCAGTCTCCCTACTTCCTGTTCTCTTGTTTTGTTCTGTTTTTATATTTTGGGCTTCTCACGTGAAGAAACCGTGTGGTATTTACGTTTGTGCGGCTGACTTACTCCGCCAAAGGTTATGGCCTCAAGGTGCATCCGTTTACTTATCAGTGCTGCGGGTTTACCTTTCTTAGGGTGCAGCAGCGCTTCATGGTGTGTAAATGCCACATTTTCTGTGTCCATTCGTCTGCTGATGGACGTGTGTATAGGCTGCTTCCAGGACAGAGCCACTGCGTGTCGCACAGCTGTAATGGTGGGTGTGCGTGGATCACTGTAAAGTGATGTCTCTGACTGTGTGTGTGTGGCCCGTTCAGCTCGCCCTGGGGGCAGGGCTGTGTGTGCTGGGAATGGAACCGTGGTCCCCGCGCAGCAGGCGCTTTAGTCTGCCGAGCTAGCTCACCGGCCCTCAACCCGTACAGGACATCAGCAGGGGGTGTCTTAAAAGACATACACTGCAGCTGGGCCAAGTAAACTTTCTAGTTGCTGTTACTCTGTGATGTCTCTGTGCAGGTTTCTCTGGTAAGTCCATTTAGGACACGTTAGCTGAGTTCCAGGCCGTGCCAGGTGCTGCGTGGGTGAGCGATTCAGTGGCCCTCAAAGACAGCAGGAAGTGTCATGTGGCTTACCTTGAGGGCTCAGGTTCCTCTGGGAGGAAAAGCTACTGCAGGGAGCCAGAGGAAAATCCAGAACCGGGAACCTGAGAAGGATGAGGAGCTCGGAAGGCCCAGTGGTCGTTGAGCCCAGGTGCAGAGGGCCGGACCGGGTGGGCGTCCACGCCCTTCCCTGCGCACGTGGGTGGAAGGGGCTGAGAAAGCTGGCAGGCAGCTTGACTGAGGGCTTGAACCGGTGACAGCCTGGAATCAGGCGGGTGTAGGGGGTTGCCCAGGAGGATGGAGGCGTCGCCGCGGACTCTAGGTGGGTGGAGGGAAGTGAAGTCCGCGACCTCCTGGCTGAGACCTTGGCTTGCAGCCTCTCCTTCCACTTCAGACACCATGAAACCAATTTGCCCACTTCTTTGCCGTGATTAGGCAATGCCAAAGCTGCTCATTACAACTTTTTATTTAAGAAAACTCCAAATAGATGTGTTAATAAAAAGAAGATTAATGGAGTCTCACAATATTCTGCTAGTTTAAAAGTGGTATTTTCTTGTTCTAATGGTAGGATTTTGTGTAAATTCTAGCTAACAGACTTCTTCTTTTTTTTTTTTTTTTTTTTGGCAGTACCAGGGATCAAACTTGGAACCTTGTGCTTGCCGGGTGGGCCCTTAAGCTGCTGAGCTATCTCCCAGGCCCACTAACAGACTTTTAATAATTTCTTCCATTGTGGAGTCCACAAATTCCCAGAAATTAAAAATAAAAATTATCTTGAAATAGCTTTAGATCGGGCTGGGGAGATGGCTCAGTGGAATAAGCGCTTCCCTGGCAAGCGCAAGGGCTTGAGTTCAGTCCCCAGTTCTGAAAAAAACCCCAAAAAACTAGCTTTAGATTGACAGAAAACTTGCAAAAATAGCGGAGTTCTTATCTGGTGTCCTTCAGCAGGAATTTCTAGTTGTTAACAACTTAGGCAACCACAGTATAATTTCCAAACCAGGGAATTCGATTCTGTTAACTAGACTTTATTAGAATTTCACTGGATTTCCAGTAATCCCTTTTCTTCCTGGATTCTGATTCAGGATTCCACGTTGCATTTAGCTGAGGTTTTTTTGAGCATCTTGTAACGTTATGAGGGTTCCTTCTCTTTCACGACCTTGACATTTTTGAGAAGTACTACTTAGTTACTTTGGAAGGCGGCCCTCCACTGGGGTTTGGCTGGCAACTCTGTCCCTGAGGAGTGTTTCTCAACAGGAGCACGGTTGATATTTCAGGCTGGCCGGCTTGGTATGGAGGGCTGGTTGCCATATGTGGTCGGGTCTCTGGCATTCTTGGCCCATGTCCACCAGACACCAGTGGTGTCCACCCGATGCCTAAGGGGTGACCATCAGGGGCATCTAAGTGATGCCAGCGACCTTTGGGAGGGTGGAACCCTCTGGCTGAGCGCCCAGGAGTCAGACCAGGATCACCGGCTTTGGTGAGGGTGCTGCAGGGTAGCTACCTGCTGCTCCCAGGCATGGCCCCGGGCTGCCGGACTCAGGAACTTACAGCCCTGATGATTTGGTTAAGCTTTCTCTGTGGTAAAAGTCCCAACTCCTCCTCCTCTGTAGACTTGCTGGTTTCCCTTTGGAAATTAATAAATATGTTGGTAGCAAGAGATTAGGTTTTTGCGGCAAGGCTATGATAAGGGGAGTACTACCTACATCATCAAAAATACTTTTCAGTGTTTATTTTTTTATTTTTACTTTTAAAAAATCTCTATCAGAGGGCTGGCCAAATAGCTCTGCGGATTAAAGCACCTGAAAGCAGGTGCAGGGGCTGGAGGTTTGATCCCTGGGCCTGCTGTGCAGGCTCTGCCCCCGGGGCGCACTGAGATGGCACTTGAGAGTGGGCGCGGTGGTGCGCACCTGTAATCCCAGCTCTTGAGAGGCTGAAAACAGGCAGATCATTACAAAGCTGATCTAGTAGTGAGACCCTGAACACCCTGTAGACTTTTCCCCCCAAGAAAAACTCATTATCAGTACACATTTGCCGTTCATAATTAATTTTTTCCACACCCTTCTTGCATCCTCCCTGCGCCCTCTGACTCTGCTCTTCTGCCCATTTGCAGAGCCTTCTGCCCGTGTCCTTTTCCAGCTCGCTGTCATCCCTTCGCTGCCTCTCCTACCCACTTCCGCCTTGCATCCCCCTTCCCATCTAAAAAGTGACCTCGGGGACCACCAACTCAGGACCCCCCTCCTGTCCCTGTCTCGAACAAGAGCTTTCTTTCCTTCAATAAATATATTCTGCTTTAAAAAAAAAAAAAAAGGGATCTTCCTGCTTCCTGTTATCTGATGTTTATTTTGCTCTCTTTTTTATACTTGGAGCTTCTTATATAAGTAACACCGTGTGATGTTTAAGCTTAATATTCTGCTCTTTTTTAAAAATTAATTTTACAAAATATTTATTTATTTATTACAGGGTCTCGCTATGCAGCTTTGGACTCGTAGTCATCTTCCTGTCTCAGCTTCCTCAGTGCTGGGATTACAGGCGTGCGCCCCCACGCCTAACTTCTGGGCTGGCACAGCATGCGGTACTGGGATTAAACTAGGGTCCTTGCTCTTGGCACGCAGGCGCTTGGACCGCCGAGCTGCCTCCCGGCCCAGTCTTGTGCTCTTGAGCTGCTTGCGTCCTCCGGCAAGTGCCTTGCGTTTATCCGTCGCTGTGGTAGGGCGGGCCTCTCCTCTGTGTTCTCTCCGGGAAAGTGGCTGTTTTTTTTTCTGGAATCGTGTTCTGTGACTTACAGCTTTGTTGCTTGGCTGTGCGGAAAGGTGGTCACCTGACAGCTGCACATGGGGACCACGCCACCTTCTGTCTTACTGAGTTTTCCTGCCATTCCAAGTACTGTTGGCAGTAAGGATCTTGTGTGCTTAATCCTGTGTCCTTAGCACCTGACACTTCAGTGAAGGAAAGATAGATTTTAGTTTTAGAAAACAGGCACTGGGAAGTAGAAGGCACACCTTGGATGCCGGCATAATTGTTTCTTTCAAAAGCACATTTTTGGGTGCTGGATGGATGGATGCATTGATTGATTGATTGTCTTTTTGAGACAGGGTCTTGCTGTGCAGTTCAGGCTGGCCTTGAGCTCATTTTATAGCCCAGGCTGGTCTGGACCTCCCAAGACTCCTCCTGCCTCAGCCTCCTGAATGCGGGGATTACAGGTGTGGGCCACCACTCCCGGCTGGGTTCTAGTTTTTGAGATGCTTGTTTTGATTAATTTGAGCAGAAAAGGATATATTTTTAGCATGTTGAGGAGAGTTGCTTTTGTAGACCCTTCTGCATTTCCTTGAAGAATGTCATTTAATAGCAGCGTCTGCTACTCTAAAGCCCTCAGGAATGCAACACTAAGGTAGCAACTGTTGAGTATTAGCATCATTATTTTCCATGTTATAACCATTAAATGCAGCAATATTCCTGTCAATGTGAGTAGTCATCAGGGTCGTCATTGTGGCGCTTGGACACTCATTGCATATTTGATTTAAAAATGTTCTTACTGCTGGGCATGTTGTCGTGTACCTTAGCTATTCCAGCTGCGCAAGAGGTCAAGGTAGGAGGGTTCCAGTTCAAGTTCAAGGCCAGCCGAGTGACAGCCTGTCTCCAAGAAAAAGTTTCATTAGTTACGTGGTTATGAACATTTGTTTTTAGTTTTTATTTTACTTTACTTTTTTTGTGGGCCCGGGGATTGAACTCAGAACCCTGCGCTTGCCAGGCAAGCAAATATTTGTAAGAAGTTACAAGCTATGTATGTAAAACTTCGAGTATGGGTTTCTAGATTATAAAAACTTGAGAGTACAAAACTATAGACTACAGGAACTTGAATGTAGTGTTCAGGTTCTTCCTGGCTCCCTTTGAGGGCGGACCAGGAACCATCAACTCACTAGTGGCTGCCAGTTGGGTTTCAGGAAGACCTCCTGGAGTCAGGTTCCGGCCTTCGGAATATTGGCATTGTGGCTCGGTTCAGAAGAGAACAGTTTAATTTAATTCTTTTTTGGTGCTGATTATTTTTATTATTTTTATTCTGTATGCAGGAAAGGAGAGACAAAAGTTTTATAAGAAATGCAGGTTATACATTGCTTAATATTTAAGGTATTTTTTTCTTCTTTTATAAATGAGAGAAAAGGAGACCAGACATGAATCAGAGAGGGAAAAGAAACACTGGTTTCGCAAGGTCCTCCAGTTCCTTTCCAGAATTGTCGCTGGATGCGTACCACACCGCAGGATGCTCAGCACCCATCTAATACTTTTATATGTGTGCTGTTTCTTTCTTTCTTACTCTTTCTTTTTTTTTTTTTGTTTTTTTGGTGGCTGGCTCAAGCCACCCTGGGGGCAGGGCTGGCACTGCATTTGGTGCTGGGGATTGAACCATGGTCCCTGCACATTTGCCTAAGCTTGCCTAGGCAGGCACTTTAGACCTCTGAGCTATCTCGCCAGCCCTGTGCTGTTTCTTTTGACAATTGAAACCTCTGCTGTAACTCTTAGAATCTTTGGACTCAGAATATCTTTAAAGATTCTTAGGAATTTGGGAGTGATCTAGTCTCCTTTCTACCTCTCCTGTTTCTTTTCTTGCCTCAGAAGGGCCCTGTTAGACCTCTGCGGGGCTGTAGACACACTCTTCCCAACACGCAGTCCCCCGGGTCCGTGGCCATTGAGCCTTTGAAATGTGGCTGCTGCTGACTGAGGCTGTGGGCCAGGCCACGTGGCACAAGCCGGATTCTGGGCGTTTCGTACTAACGTGAGGTGTCTCATTGATCATTTTCTGTTTGTTTTTTTTCTTTGATACTTTTCACAAAGTTTACAAGTCAAAGTGATAGTACCTTAATTTACCTGGAAAACAGCCAGTTCAGGTAAATATAAAAATGAATTTCACGGGCTTTCTGTTGCTTTTTAAATTGCTAATAGGAGATTTCCATGTGTAGCGTGTTATCCATGTGGAGCATCAGTATGGCGCTTTGGTCTCCAGGATTGTCACCGTGTTCCGCTTGTGCAGTGCCTCTTTCTCCCCAGGTTGAGTTTGGAGCTGGGAAATAGCCCTTCCTTCACCTTTACTTCTTGCTTTGGACACTTGCCCCTTGAAGAGAGAGGGGCCTCCCATTAGGTCCTCAAAAGGGGTGTTGGTTTGGGGTGTTGGCTTTGTCCCTTCCTGGAGGGAATGCATGGGTGTCAGTGTGATCGATTCTACCTCGGGGAGTAATGGTGGCAGGAATGAGGAAAAGAGACAAGAAGACAAGAACTGGGAGGTGGTGACTTGTCTGCCCAGTTGGCGAGACCACCCCGTAAACAATGATATGGATGTTTATTTATACCTTTACAAAGTTAGTAACGCATGACACAAGGTTGCCCAGTGACTAATAGCTGACATCAGCCAGCGAGGATGCTTCTCGCAGGGCTGAGGTAGCTTGTCTGATGTAAGCACCAACACATAGTCCCGCCTGCACACATTTGACCACTTTTCCAGCTTTCGTAGCTCCCAACACTTCTGGTAAGCAAAATTGGACATTAGAGACTCACAAAAATCAACGTTTTTTTAAACATAAGAACAGCACCCTCTTTTTACCCGGATTGCGGGTTATGGATTTCCTTGTATGATAGCGGTACACTATATGTACAACACAGTGCAGAACTCACTTTCCCCGTTTCTTTGTAACTGTGTCCAGCCTCATCCATTCTAGATCCGTTATATTTAATTTATATATCTGCTTTTAAAATGCCATGTAGCATATAAGCTAGACATCTAGTCTATGTTTTGGAGGTGGCTCGGCGTCATGGGCAATGCCACCCTCTCCCACGATTTGACTGACCCCAGCATCATAAATGCCACTCTCGGCCCTGGTTTCCCAAGCTCCGGTTCCTTCCTGTGCGTGTTTTCCTTTGGCTCGGAGGGTGGCGTCTGCTGGAGCGCGTGCCTGGCCTTCCCGCCCTTCGCTGCCACAGCGGTTGCTAGCGTCTCCGTCGCAGCCCGTTCATACCACTGCAGTGGCTGGAAATAGATGCGCTTCCCCACCTTTTAAGTGTCTGCTGGATAAATGGAATGTGTATGAGTTCTTAGAGCACAGGTTTCTTTGGAAGTTTCTTACTCTCTGGGCACACACAGCATCCATTTTCTGCCACCGTTGTTCTAATCTGGCTCGTGGCCCTTGGGTCCTTTTCTAACAGGTGTAAAGCGGAACGTGAAAGGAGCCAGCAAGCCGCGCAGACTGCAGAGGTCTCCCTGAGTGCCTGCAGCACACCACAAAGAATTTCTGCCACTCCGCTAACACCAAGTCAATATTACAGCGGTAAAGAGTC